AATTCACAGGTATTCACGTTCTTTACGAACACTATTTCGCTCGACAAAATTTGGTCGCTAATGTTCAACAATATACTAAAAAAATCTGTAAAAACATAAAAAAATACTACTAATGAACGCGCAAAGACTTACTTCGAGTTTAATTAACCGTTTATTACTTTTTTAAATTAACACCTTTTAACAATTTTCAAACCACTTCGAAATAACTTCGACTTATATCTTCAAAGCACTCCACACAATTGAATAAGATGACGCCGGATAGATTGGGTACAGCCTAAATTTTACTGCGCAATTTCCTCCTATTGGTAGGGCTGGTGAGGGGTATTCCCCACCGCCACCACTGGCAAAAAAAGTTCAGTTTTATAGCACTTGCAACTTTATAGAACATTAAAAAAATTGAAAAATTCAAACTAAAAAGTTATGATAAACAAAGGTTTTTAAGGGGGTACTAGCGTTAGTACTTCACTTTCACCCTATAACTTCGTCCACTTGAGAGATAGAAAATGGACGTCTTCGACAAAGTTTCTCAAAATTACTTCATCTACAATGTTTCCATAGATGTTCATCAATTTCAACAAGGCATAAACAAGTTATTTTTTTTGTCTCAGTGTATACCCCCTTAATCAAAAATGTTCACTTCTCAAGTAGAGTACTCAAAAAATGAAAAAACAAAAAAAAACATTCTTAAAGACATCAAAATGCTACACTCAATAGTTTCGTCGCAAATAGCCATGTCCCACTATTTTTGATATCGTCCCACTGTGCGCCGGGTTTAAGTGCATACAGCAAAGACTCGGGTTAATCTCAGGCTCCTTCAGTGTTCAAATTCATTCTTAAGATGAACATTTCAGTTTAGTGTGCCGTTTACCAAAAACGAACCCTGTTGCATATCCAACCCTTCTATCCAACGTTCCAGTGTTTTCTGCATTCAAACGCGGCCGGCGTTACTGACATTGCCTTTTGTAAAGTATGAGATCACTAGTTTTTGCACTTTGAGGATGGATGCTAGTCCCAAAAATCATTTATTGGCACTGGAATTACAGGAAATGAGGCAATACCGGAGTAGAAAACCTGGGCGGTCAATCATGCTCATGCTCAATAGAGATTCGGCCTTTCTGATCTTTTTCTAATTAGATATTTTGATCATTCATCATTTTTTTTTTCGTTCGATCTTTTGTCAATAAAGACCATGTGTTCAATCGAGATTTGGTTCATTTGATCTTTTTGACCGATTAAATTTCATTCGACTTGCTCATTCAACGTTTTGTACACTTCGATTTTTTATCAGATCGACCTTCTGTCTCCATTTATTAATGCTTTTGTTCATTTGAACTTCTGCCCGCTAACTCTCATTCGACCTTTTATTCTTAGATCTATGGTTTTTCGAAATTTTGTCCGTTTACCTTTTTTTTTCCTATGCAACCGATTCCAAGGATTACAATAAATTAATAATGATTAAAGAATAGACATAAGGTCATTCTTGTCTATTCTTTAATCATTGTTAAATTGTCTAATCCCTGGAATTGATCATAGAAAAGGACAAAGAACAAAAGATCGAAAGACAAAAGATCGAATAACAAAAGGTCGAATGGACAAAAGGATAAATTTTTCTTGTGATCATTATTAATTGGTCATAATTCCTTGGAAACGACTTTATATAAAATGAGTCTGTTTCGGATCTCAAACTATTTTTTTGAAGCAGCTTTTTGTTGTTGCAGCTCAAAACTGAAATATAATGTTTATTTAAATTTCATCGTTACCTTTTGTTTCACATTACATACATGCCGTACCCTACATTCACTCCTAGATATCACTATTCAAGCTCTTTCTCTCCCTCAACTATCTGCAAACTTCACTATTTTCTTCAACCCGAATTCAACTCAGTGCCAACATTTCAAAGGGGCGTAATTGCTTTTGTAAACAATGGCTTTAGCCGTCGATTTCTCGCAACTAAAAGCTCGCTCCTCCAAATTAACAATGCTAGCTAGTAGAGGAAACATTCCTCTACCTGTTGGTATCATTATTTTTCACGAGTGACCTTTTATTCGCGAGAAATCAACGGGTAAAGCCATTGTTTACAAATGCAATTACGCCCCTTTGAAATGTTGGCACTGAACTGTTGATCACTAATTCTAATTCTATTTTCAGGTTCACCAAGAGCAATTATTCACCGCGTAACCACTATTTTTCGAAGCAATGACCGTAATAAAGTCTTTCTCACACTAATGTGTTCGCCTATTATTTTTCTCCATCCTTCGTTTGACGTTTGCGCGATCAAAGTGATCCGCACAAGGTTATCCGTACAAGGTGATCCGCACAAGGTGGGTGGATCTTACGCACGCTAAATTAACATTACCCTGTTTCTTTCACGCAGTGTTGCCAAGTGCCGCAACAACCCCACCCGTAACTCTGGCACAGGGTCCTTTATACGAAGCCAGATGTTCCGTCACTGATCTCAGGCACCGCAATCTTCGCCACAGCTCGTCTGTACAGCTTTCCACCTGCTCGAACTACGACTTGTCTGATCCTGCCATCCGCTGCTTTGACAACCTAGTCGATTATGCCTCGAATCCAATTCTTCCTGTTTTCTTCATCTGCCATGTACACCAGAGTGCCAACTTTCACAGGACCTTGTTCATCCTGCCACTTCGCCCTCAAGTTTATGGTCGGCAGATACTCCTTCGTCCACCGCTTCCACAGTTTATCAGCAAGCACTTGTGATCGCTCGTACTGATCCCGTAAGGCCTTCGCTTCGTTGCCGGATGGTAGCTTCACCTCTCTTCCGCATGATGGATACCCGAGCAGAAAGTGATTCGGAGTCAATGTTTCTGGTTCCGCATTTTCCTTCGACACAAACGTTAAAGGCCTTGAATTGATCATCCCTTCAGCTTCCGCCAGGGCTGTCTCCAATACTTCGTCGGAAAGTGATCGTCCGTCTTCAAGCTCCGTCAACGCCTCTTTCACCGATCGAATCGAACTAACCTTTCCCATACTCCTCCCATGTGTGGGGCTGCTGGAGGATTGAAATTCCACCTCGTTCTCGCACTCGTGAAGTTCTCCCTGCATTCCACGTTGATAGCCTTGACGATTTCCTTGCTAGCTCCAACAAAGTTGGTACCGTTGTCCGAAAAAAAACTCAATCGGAAACCCTCGTCGACACACGAACCGTCGGATTGCCATCAGGCAAGACGCCGTAGACAGACTCTCCTAGCAACCTCCAGGTGAACTGCTCTCGTTGTGAAGCACGTAAATAATGCTACCCATCGCTGTCGCTGCTCACTTCGCCGACCGACAACAACTGTAATGGGACCGAAAAAGTCCACCCCTGTGTAAGTGACGGGACGGAGGAACGGTGTAATTCTTTGCACTGGTAGTGGTGCCATCCTGGGTACGGTTGGTTTGCACTTACACCATACGCAGTTCCGCATTACTTTCGTTACTTCTGCTCTAATTTTCGGAATACAGAACCTTAGCATCAGCTCGCTCACGACAGCCTCTCGATGTCCATGGCCAAGCAGCTGGTGATAATGATCGACCAGCCTCGACGTTATCAAATGTCCTCTAGGCAGAATAACAGGGAAACGCATCTCGAACGGCAGAAATTCAGCTTGTGTTGTTCGACCTTCCACGCGCACTACATTGTTGTCGTCCAAAATCGGTGATAGTTTGTACAGTGGACTCCTTTTTTCGATTTTGCCTTGCACTCGCCGTTGCAGAATGCAGATCTCGTCCTTGCACTTGTTGCCACAATATCACCTCTGCTCGCTGGAATTCTTCCCTCTGCAGACACTCCCGAACCGTATGCATCTTCCTCTGGTAGTGAACGTTCGGTAGAGAGCAAAGCGTTTCTATTGGCAGGCCTTTTGCTTTCCTGTGGAGATTTGTCACGAACCGCACGCCACAGTTCTCACTAAAATGTTCCACTTTGAGATCCGCGAAAGTTCTATTAGCTGAGATGTCGTTTTCACTTCATGGTACAAGCACGCTGCACGAAGCTCTTCCGGAACGTTTGCCTCTACACTATCATCACTCGGCCACTCACTATCGGGCCTGTACAGGAACGCTGGTCCTCCTAGCCACGTTGGTTGTTAGTTGAGGGAGAGAAAGAGCTTGTGAAGTGCCGCAACAGGGTCAAAGAAAAAAGGCTGAAAGACGTTAGATCGAAGACCAAAAGGTAGAATGAGAGCTAGCGTGCAAAAGGTTTAATCGACAAAAAGATGAATAAACGTTATGGAGAAAGAAGGTCGAATTGATAAAAGATCGAAATGGATAAAACATTGATTGGACAAAGGGTCGCATGAATTTTAAAGGGACGAAAAGATAGAATAGACAACAATTCAAATGAACAAAAGGTTGAAATTGACAAAAGACGAAATTGAAAAAAAGGTCGATATTGACAAAAGGTCGTATGGAAAAAAATGTGGAGGAGACAACCAGATTCCCTCATAATGTGAATAACGATCCTTACATAATTCTAAATTCACAAAACATTTGGTCATATTTATCGAAAGGGCAGAACCTGAGCATCCCTAGTTCGAGAAGTCGCAAAAACATCAATCAACCAATATCGCCGCAGTTCGACAAGCCCCAATGGTGCGCACTCCCGGGAGGGCTCCGGTTAATTGAAACGTACTTAATCCTCCGAACTTGTAATCATGCACCTGAGTATCATTGCAGGAAGGTACAACACGCACAAATGTCGGATAAAAATAACAAGTCAAAAGCATCGCTGCAGTGGATGACTGACGACGATGGCGACGTGGGATATAAGACGAGATGAGGCTTTCCAATAGCGTGAAATTCTTGCGCGAGCGCATGCAAGTATCAAAACATAATTGCATTCTCGTGAGATGTTGTACACGGCACGGGGCTCCGGGCAGTAATGAAGCGCATAACTGACTCATTACCCCACCCCCCTAGGCTTAAAATTCCTTGATTTACGCCGAGAAGGAATGTTGTAATTAATTACTGCTCACTGCGATCGTGATTTAAGTTTAAGCAGCTTCCACCTCGTTCTAACGGTTTTCTTTATTCAAAATTATTTCTCCCATGTCAATCATGTTCCGTATTTCGTCAGCTATGTCAACCTTGAGCTTCTCCTTGTATTGCTCCATCTCGGTTACCATCGCACCCAGCAACTCGCAATTGTAGTAGTACAAACACTGATAGATTGGTTCCCAGATCTGAAAATAGTCATCCTTTGCATCGCGATCGACCCGTATCTCGAACCGGTCGTCAATGTTCAGGTACATCGGTTCCGTTTCGTTGCGGCTGTTGTACTCAGGCCACCGTACCTGGGACATTTTACTGCGCTTCGGGGTGGGATTCCTGCAAACAAGTTCCAACATGCAACCACTGGGATTTTTTTTTTAAATCATTGCTAGGCAGCTATTACTCACCCGTACTTTACGAAATTCGACACCAGTTCTACGGTTCGTTCGTGAACCTTCCACTCCCGGCGAAACTCGCTCCGGTTGGCTAACGCTTCCTGCATGTTGTACGGTGAGAATATGTACCCCAGGTCATCACCGTGAACCGCTCCGTACCGACTGCCGCGGGTTCTGTTGGTGTAGAACTCGTTCTTGTAGAACCCGAATCGACCGTCGAATTCGAACTTGAAGTAGTAGATGGGATCCTTCTCCAGGTGTTTGGAGAGGTGTTTCAACATCTCCTTGATGGGGTACGCCAGATTGGCCACGTTGGCTAGCTTCTTGTAGAAGCTGGGATCTCTGGCCAGTTGGGCTCTAAAGTTTGCGAGCCTGGTGATGTTTCCTAATAAAGATACATTTCCGTTGTTCGGGAAGTTGCTGCCCACGTAGAGGAAGTTTGCGTAGAATAGAAGCAGTTCGAACTCGGTGGATGTATGACCAACTAGCATCGGGACTTGGTTGACAGGTTTCTGAAGAATCAACTCGTGAGGTGCTGCAGTGATGAAGGCATCCGGATCATCACCGGCTTCAATTGCGGGCAAGAAACCGGGGTAGAACATTGAGAAGAATCCGAACGTGTCGAAACCGTCCCGCACCACTAAACGGTTCAAGTCGAGTTCCTGCAATTCTTCGATGCTGGAAACGTTACACTGTGCGACCATTTGTTCGCCGGTGTCTTGTGAATCGAGATTTAGCGCCCACGGGGCAAGCATCGAGCCACCGAGTGCGAATAGTCGCTGAAACAGGCCACGCGAGCCTTCCGAGTAGAGGTGGAACGTGACCGATCCGGCTCCAGCACTTTGTCCCATCAGGGTAACGCGATCGGGATCACCTCCAAAGTACTTGATGTACCGCTGGACCCACTGTAGAGCTGTTCGCTGATCTTTCAGGCCAAAGTTACCGCTGATGTTGAACGCCGGATACCGTAGGAATCCCAGCACTGCCAGGCGGTAGTTGATGCTGACCACCAGGACGCCCTTGAAAGGTAATTGAATCATCAGAATAAATTGAGGAGTAATAAGGTCGGTTTGTGGGAGATCTTACGCTGTCTACCAGTAGATCAACTCCGTTGGCGACGTCCTGTTGGGCCGATCCCACCATGAATGTTCCTCCGTGAACAAACACCAGCACTGGATATTGGTTGCCTCCGGAAGCCTTGGGCGCATAGATGTTCATAAACAGACAATCTTCGTTGCCAATCACTTCCGAGAAGTTGAATATGTCGTCCTCCTGGGGACACATGTTGCCTACTGTAGTGTAGTTTTCCGGTCCACTTGGATGGTACAGGACTGGATTCTGGAAATGATTGCTTAGGTATTCAGAATACACAGCTGCTGTATCGAACGCATCGTACTTACTCTGAACCTGAGTGCTGCAACCGGGGCTTCTGCATAGCGGACTCCCAGATAGGTGCAAAACGGAGACCCGGTGAAGGTCTCATTGTGCAGTCCTACGCCGTAGCTGGTGTCGTTGAACCTAACCACACAGGAACCGGTTCCGGAAGAACTCGCCGTCAGGCCAAAAAAGACGAGCACCAGCAAGGCACGCATGATGATCGCGTCCCAACCGTTCTGTAGCGACTATCGATTTACACTGATTGGTTATCATATTGGTTCCATCCAAGCACCATGCTTGATTGAATCATGTTGATCGATTCAATCAACTTCAATCAGACCAATCAATATCGCAGACTTTGATACCAATGTTTACACTTTGAGAATTTCGTCGCTACAAATAGCAAACTGGAATTGGTGAGTATGATGACGTCAATTTGGTGAAGCCAATTGGAACTTGACTGTAACAATTTATTTACTTGTAACAATTCAAACGCAAACGCCTTTACACTTACATTCCCAGGCCGAGGAGCTGATCTTTTCTCATGTTGGGACCATCACCAGACCATTCGACTGCTTGGCTACCCGAGAGACTCTGTAAACTCGGGGCGTTGCCTATTAGCACTCCGGTTCCTACGCCCCATTTATCATCGCATCACAAAGCCACAACGACCGAACTTTGATCCATCTCCATCGTTCAAATGATCATATCTGAGAAAAGATCAACCGATTCCGGGTAATAAGCAACTGCTGCAAAGGTCTTGATCTCAAATGGACCTTCCTGCGGAGGGAACAAAAGCAACTCACAGCCAAGAACGCGCGCTAAGAATATCAAGATCAAGCTATTATAAATGATATTCACGGGCGCGATCAGCGCCCTGCAAGATCGGCAGAAGGTCCCAGAGGCGTAATGAGTTCCCCGCGCCGAGGATCAAGTTCAAACCGCTTCCTCCCGCCCGGTCTCTGGGTTCATTCTTTTGTTGAATCTCGGGCCCTCGCACTGACCGACCGATCGGCCGTAGAGCGTAGCCAGGTGAGGAAAAAGGATTAAGTGAAATATTTCAATAAAGAAACCGCGCGCGATCGTGCTCACTCTGCTGGCTGCCCGTCAGACCCAGACTGTGACTCCGAAATGAAATTAAAAGAAGACAACAAAAACAACAGTGGGCAGGAAAGAGGGCGGAGCCGTCTTGTTTATCTCTTCGTGTGGCTGATGATTTCTTTTTGTTTGGTCGTCGCGCGCGCATACGTCCGCGCGATCGCGAACTCGTTGTCGTCCCTGCTGCTGGCTGCCGGCGAACGAGGCTTGATTGGTATTGTTGTTTTTGTACTTTTCGCGCTTTTGAAGGTACGTCACCGTCATCGTCATCGTCTTCGTCTTCGTTATGATCAACAGACGGAGCGCTTGAAGGAAGTTGCCAGTACCACTACCTTGATCGATTGAACGATGATGATGGTTCAGATGGATGGATCATCGACGGTTAGAGAAGCTAGTCTGCGTGGTTCCAGGTGTTACACGGCAGAATGTGGTGAAAGAAGGTATTGGTTTTGCTTCCGTTGAGTGAAGGTGCGAATCATGTAGCACGTGAGACAGACTTCGAGATTTCACTGTTAGCATTCATTGGAAACGAATGTTACATGAGCTGCAGAAGAATAGGGGAAACGCTCCATAGTTGCGGTACGTTAGAAGCGTTAGATTCCTATAGTTGTGCATGGAGACTCAATACACAACTATAGGAACATAACGCTTCTAACTTACCACAACTATAGGAGCTTTTACCCTAGATGTCTCAATTTTATAGCATAGTAAGCAAATTTGCCCAGCAACATGTGTCGTTATTTTCAAAGATATGAAAGTTTGTTTTTCAATATAAATTAATTGAGGAGCAACCTAGTTTTTAAAATAGCCAAAAGAAGAACCTTTTCAAGTTCAAAAAGTTCATGACAATAAACATCTTAAACTTAAGACAAAAGCACTAGGACTATATTCAAACAAAAATCTATCAAATAGCGGACGTAATAACTATGAATAATAAGAAGAAATTATCAAAATTTCGATTAAAAGAATTATTATGTCAAAGGATTAGTCCAATTTGGTGTGAACACCGAAAAGTGAGGAAGGAAAAAAATGATATGCTGAATTAATCCCACTAAAAGGATATCAAATGAATCTGAATGTCTAGCAGGTTGCGTGAGCATGCCTTGAAGTAGCATATCTAAATTCCAAAATTTAGAAATGTGCCAACCAAGTTATTTGAGAACATCTGCAGTTTGTCTACCTACTTGCTTTATTTCTTAAAAATGACAAATCATACCTCTAACATAGTAGTAGTTACAGTGTCGCATGATTGAACAACCACTGTCTGCATCTAGTGTTGGAGAGGCTGGCAGGGTTGACTACGGATCAAAACGATCATAACTCTAACACTAAAATGATCCCGAAACTAACGCTCATTCATTGCACTTTTAGTTATAAAGTAGTTCTGTTTTCCTAGTAATTGATCTATGCTTCTTTCTATTGTTTTTATACTTTTTCAATAATCTGCCTACGTTTCTTTTTCTTTGTTTTCCATTTTATCTTTATTCTCTTTTTATTGTTCTGCTCTTCTTTGGCTTTGTTTGTTTAGATATAACTAATACTAAAACCTCTTTGTTTCCTCCCTAATGTCTCGTCTCTGATTTGTCTGCTATACCCCACCATCACGACGAGAGATGAGCTACCCTACATAGTACACGCCTATATGGGCGCCCAAAATAGTATGCCGCAAGTACGTATATCATCAAAACAACTCAAGATCCAGAAATAAAAACCGATGGCGCTGCAGAATAATGAGGTAACTTCTACAATGTACTGTAATTTGTACAATAATACTCATATTACTCATATTACTTTAAACAATCGTCACGTCGGTCATAAATTGAAACATGGAACGTTGCGTGATAGTGGAATTTAATCAAGGCCTAAATACTTTTTCGTAGCCTTTTGTTTTCGGATTTGAAAGATCGTTGGTTGCAGTGGCTTGCTTACTGAGCGAAAAACGCGGTCCCAGGTCCTTTCATATTAAAAATGTATGGTAAGATCGCTTGTTTATCGTGTATTTTGCTAAACCTTTCGTTGTCGTCGGTGCCGGGTTTGAATAGTTATAAAAACTTGAGTAACGGTATGATGTGATATGAGGGGCTCGGTGGCCTTAGAGCAACCGTTTTTGCTTACTGATCAGAACATCCTGAGTCTTATCTCAAGCCCATCCCCATCAAGATTCGTCAATCGTTTTATTTGTTTATATGACTACATGGTAATAACAACAATTAGATGATTAAAAAGGAGCTCGTTTGCCTAGTAGCAAACGTTTTTGCTACTAGCAGAAGACCGTGGGTTCAATCCCAAGCTCCTTCGCGTTATACGATCGTTAGGACATCAATTCAGCTTATCGTTTACCAGAACGAACCCTGCTGCAAACCCAACCCTCTTACCTAACATCCCTGTGATTCCTCGTGGATGTGCAGAGGACTCCTCGGCTTCCATCAAAGCGAGTGTCACGTCAACACATCCCTACCCATTCCTTTCTTGACCTGCGTTCAGGCGCGGCTGGCGCTGGTATTGCCTAATTCGAGATCACCAGTTTTTACACATTGAGAATGATTGCTAGTCCCAAGCATCGTCTATTGGTTCTCTGTGTAATTACAGCTGGTCTGGCAATAACAGAGTAGCAACCGTGGGCGGTCAATCATGCTCATGCTCAAGAGTTATTATGTCAAAGGCACTTTTACTTCCCAGGTGACAATTCTAAACTAACCTGTGATTTAGTGCGTCTGAACAACTCGGCCAAAAATAGCAAGTCAGTTTGTACACTGGTGAAGAAATTTTCAACTAAACTGGCCTGTATTGTGACAATAGGTCTTATAAATCTTATGAACTTTGTATAAAAAACAGCAACCATCTATCTAGTTGAGCTTTCAAGTTGAAGCAAGTTATTATAAGTCAAATCGTATACTCGCCGGGCCTGGTATAACTGAGCTGTCCACTATGCAATAGGTCGTGTTGACAGCAACCAGGCACTAGTGGTTAGTGATTTTTTCGAGTGAGATACGATAGGTGTTGTCATTCAGAACTGAAGTCAGCAAACTTCTATCTAGCCGTATGATAAGCAATTTTTATATAGTAGATTAAGCGTAAATAGAAGTTGTAGATTAATTGTAGGCTGTAAATAGAAGTTTTTTTTTTCAGTGGTGTGGATGACGGAACATGGGGAGGCGAATAAACCACGGATTGCATCAGCTTCTAGAAGAGCCATCCATCGTCCACACTGCAAAAATTGGTCGACTACGGTGGGCAGCACGTCGTAAGTGAAAATGGTTCTCGAAAGCAACAGAAACAAAAAGAAGAGGCGTGCAGCGGGAAAGGTGGATTGAACAAGTTGAAGGCGATCTGCGGATCCTTCGTAGACTACGGGGCTGGTGAAATGTGGCCATGGATCGAGTAAAGTTGAGACATCAAGGCCTTAGTCTGGTTGGTAAGGCAAGTGTCCCTGCAGCCATGTATTGGCGAATCAAAGCAAAGCCAAATCTGGTCATGCGACACCTAGTTTTTGGATCCGCAATTAAAAAAATGAAAATCATGCAATTTGACAGATATCAAAACGTCATTACCATTTTCACCCAATCTGTGAGTTAATCGTCACTTTGATTCTTCAATAGACGTTCCAGCTATTTTCAACACAGTTTCTTTAAACAAGCTATTCCTTGATTTGTTGATTTGTTTTCCGTCGATCTTGTTTTCCGTGCTGAGCACCAATGCTACCGATATCAAGGAGGCAGCTCCCACACCTGGACCCTACTTATTGACTCATCAACTTATGAACCGGGGACCAACGACTGTACTTTCCTTCCGAAGGAAGGCGTGATCAGAGATGTTATGCCTCGGAACATCCCGGCGGCACCGACTGGGATTGAACCCAGGCCTGCTGAGGTGAGAGGTAATCACGCTTACCACTACACCACCGGCGCCGCTATCAAAGAAATTCTGAGCAGCGTAGCAATATTGTGTTATGGGTAATCATTCACATTTTTACAAAAATATTATTCCGAAAAAAAAATATTCCAATTTGATTTTGATGAAATCTCGAACTTTTCTTCTGATACACTCATCATATTTTGGACAGTCTGTTGGCTAACCTGAGCAGCCGTTTTGTTCCACCATCTCTTCATCTCTGTCCCGTCCCGCGTCACCTTTCCAATCTTCTTCAACTTCTGTTTAACAATTGCCCAATATTTCT